ATCCATGCTCGGTAGGAGACACTCAGTTACCCCTTGCCTCCCTTGTGTTAAGAGGCTTCTGGCACCACACCAGTCTCTTGATGGCCAGGATTCCCTTTCACTCATGAGGTCCAAGTGCTAAGATGTCCCCATTCATTTAACTATTCTCTCCTCAGCTGGGTGAAAGGTACAAGGCCCCCAAAGGGATGGTTCAGGCTATAATCCTATCTCTGGGACCTCATACCAGTCACCACAAGTTTTCTCAAAGTCTAGGGATCTCACCCCTGTCTAGTATTAGGTCTCAAAACACTAGTGATGTGAAGGACCTGTGGGACTGACTGCTGACACTTATGCCTAAGCCTTCCCTTCTCTGCTTCTGGTTAACTGTCACACCACCCTCCCCTGTTGTACCCCTCCCTGACTTGGGACAGAACTGCCAGGAGAACAGGAGGAGGATGTGATATTCCCTACCATGCCTAGAGAAGCTAACTCCAGAAGCTTTCCAAGGAATTTTTTCTCCTTGGCTTAGCACAATTAAAAGAGAGATCAGGGGAAGCACAAAGATTTATTACAGTACAGGAACAGATATACTTACAGGAGAAACACTGGAAGGAAAGGCAGATTCCTTCACCTGAGTATCAAAGCTGGGCTGGCGTATCTGGAGATCATGTCTCAGAAAGTAATGTTAGTGCTGTCCCCTGGGTTCCTGCTGCAGCTACACAGGGAACCGTGTGTCTACCAACATGGTCCTGATCCAAGTGGAGCTGCTGTCTGGATACAGCCCTGTGGCAGGTTCACTGGAAGAGGTGAGACCATAAGTTTGTGTCCATCTGGGATGGGAACAGTGATGGAAGTCCATCATGCAGGATTGTTTGCAGAACTGTGATTATTCCTGTGGGTAGAGAAACACAGTTCTTTTCTTCCCAAGAAATCTTTATGCCTGAAGTCTCTTCCAGGTCACACCCAGTCTTCCCTTACCCCAAGGGCTTCCTTGGCCATGTGAGCATTTTGCCCATGCTCTCACAAGGACAAATATCCCTGAATATATCTGCTTTCTGTTAGAGTCTTTCTGACATTTTTTTCCCTATTTTCAGCTAAAGAACATGCCTTTAGTGAAGAAAGTTGAAAGCGAAGCTGACCAAGTCATTCTCTACCTTGAGGAAGTGAGTGGGATTTAAGCTAACATCATCATTAAAACGACTATGATAGGCAGATAGCTTTTAGTTTATTTTTGTATCTTGGTTCCATTAGTATTTTAAGCATCGAGACCTGTTGTTCCTGCATACCAGCCACATTTGCTGATCTGGAAAGGTGTGTTGTGTCAGCCTGTAGTTCAGCTGTAGTGAAATGAAGCTAACTCTGATGTTAAGCCTACATTTGTTGGCACTGTTCAGAGACTGCTGAAAGACCATGTACCATGTCTGATCGGATTTGGGGAGTAGTAGTAGGATCTATCTAGTAAATTCAAGCAAGCCTGAATTCTTAGAAAGCACTTAAGCAGCCTGAATGTAGTAAGGAGCACTCAAGATTGCCTATGGAGTTTGCCAAGATTACTCAGAATTAAACCAGATGGTTGCGTGAGCAGCAGTGCTCACTCCACAGCCTCATTAACCAATAGATTAACAGCCAGCCTTTCTCTAGCTACTTGCATACCTAAACAACACCAGAAACAAGAGCTGGCATGCATTTAAAAACTTCAGAATCTCCAAGGAGCAATTCTATGTTTCTGTGATTCTTTATCTCCAGCTGTCAATAAACTGAGCTAAGCTAGCCTCATAGTAAGTAGGTTATTGTCATGTGGATGCATTAGATTTGCAAAGATGCATTTTTTGTTAGATCTGCAGCACAGATCAGAGAGGCAGCGCAGAGAAAGATTTCAGCCCAGGCTGTCAGGTAGCACAAAGTGGAACCTAATCAACAGCAGGTCATGTAACTACCTCCATCCAGCAGATGTTTATCCATACTCTGCATTTGTCTGCTTCATGATGAGGGTTGTGTGAGACTGGAGAATAAGAGCTGATGTAATGGGACTGTGTATAAGAAAGTAGCCACTGAGGCAAGATGTAAGAAGGAGCTCAAGAGCAGAGCTGGATGGGAATTTGTGATTGGTTGGGAGTGCTAGTGTTACATTTAGATGCCTATTGCATCTATTTTGGCTTTGATATCTCTCAAGGTTTTGACCTAAATTTGGTGACCAAAATGGGAGATGGCCATGAAATGTGAAGTAAAAGATATTTCTGAGATGGACTGGAAAGCAGAACAGATCTGTTACAGTGGTTAGGTCTCCATGAAGCCTGAGTGAGAGCAGGTAGAAGGGATTGTCTTACAGGACCTTGGTTCTAACTGTAATCCTTGCATCTCTTGGTCTTAGTTGACTAGACAGCCTCACACCTACACTTTGCTGGTGCAGCAGGACTTGCATGTGAAGGATGATAAGCCAGCTAATATCAAGGTCTATGATTACTACATGCCAGGTGAGCTCAGATGCTGTACTGCGGATACCTCTCAAATGTACCACTGAAAATAAATTTTCCCAAGTTGTCAAGTCTAAGACAATATCTTCCCTGACACATTTATCTAACTGCCTCTCAGAAGCTCTCTAGTGATGGACCTCTTGGGTTTCAAAATGGCAGATCTTTCTTTCTCTGGTCCCAGAACGTGCAAGTTTGAAGTTGGCATGTAGATCCACTTAGGGTATAACTCTCCCAACAAGAGGGGAGCAAGGAGCTTTTGTACGCTTGTTTGATGGAAGGCAGCAAAAGTAGAGCGACCATAGTGAGGGGATGTCTTAGAAGAATGAGGGTCCCCTTAGAGGAATGACACTGAAAACAACTTGTCCTCTGTCCTCTGGGGTCCCTATTGAGAGGAAAAACTAGAAAAGTGTCAGGAATTGCTATTGCTTCAGAAAATGAGGAATCCATAACTGTAATTGAGCTGTTTGGCACTTACAGCTTCAAAAGATTGCAAACTCTGATTTGGGTGAATCTGGCCTCTGTACCCATACCAGTGGTTTCATGTGTCACAGAGGAGGGGAGTTATTGCCTCTAAGCTGAGCAAACACCTGTCCTAGAAAGAGATGCACAATTCTGGTTTGTGTTAGTGAGTTTTTGGTAAATATCTCACCAGCACTTTTTTTTTCTCATCTTCCAGAAGAATCTGCAGTGATGAGCTACAGTGCCCCATGCAAGTGAGGTGAGGTCCCAACACATCTTTTGTCATCACAGGCATGGTCCTGAAGAGTATGGAGAGGGAGGGAGATGCAGGCAAGGGTCCTTGGTCAAGAAACTTGCCGGACTGCAGGGTCAGGCTAGGAGGTGATTCGCAATGCTAAGTAAGAGTGAGTTCCTGTATCTCAGTGGTTAAAATGAGGGAAAGGGAAAACTGAAGTGGAAGGTCTGAGGTACCCAGCTCATGACAGAGTTGGAGGTATGTTACAGTAAACAAGTTCTGCCTGTCCTGAACCCTACCACCAGTTTTAGAATTTTGCATTAAATATATTTTCCTCAAGTCAACACAGTTTCTTTTCCTGGCACTTTCCCTGCAGTTCCACAGCCCTCCAGCCCTGTGTACACAACATGCCACGTTCACCTTTACTGCAGGGCCTGACTCCTTTTCAGTGCCAAGCCTCTTACAGTCTCAGCCTGCCTTCTGATCCATGCTAGGGGACAGGCACCTGCCCATCCTCTTTCCAGGCTGGGCAAAAGCAAGGCTTGAATTTGACCAGTGCCTGCTCCTGTTTTAAACTTTGCTTACACCTGCATACTTCCTTGTCCACAGCCCACAAGATGAAGAAAAACACCTGTTTCATAAATCACCTGTGGGAGGCACACAGCACTGCCCTGGCATGCCTGTCAAAAACCCCACACTCTTAGTGGGAATTCTGCCACAGGCTTTGGATAGGTAAAGATGAAGAGAGCTCTGTCCTTGATGGCTTGGCAGACCCACTAGTCATGAGATGCAAAAAAACCCCTGAGTTCCCAGTGGTTAGTTTTAATACTTCAGGAACACAGATTTTTTTTTTTTTTTTTTGGTTTGTTTTTTTTTTTTTTTTTGTCCTTTGTTGTCTTCACAGGAACAGGGACAGACCCCTCCTCTGGAGTCTCTGTCTGTTGGTCCTTTGTCACCCCTGCCAACATCCACGATATGGAGATGAGAAGCAAAGAGAAAATACCTGAAATTTCCTGCTGAGCAGTTAGTTTCTGAAAGGCTCAGACTGTGCCTAGCATCTTATTAAAAGTCAGGAGACCTGAACTGTCTGATTGAGTGATTATTCAGGTTTACTGTTTTTCTCCCAACAGAAAACAGGAAAATTGCATTTATGAGCAGCTGGGAAAAATAACTTCCTCACCTCTGCTCTGTGTGTGCCTGCACATGTACATGTGCAAAATGCTGCCCCTCCAGTAGCAATCTCGTACAGGAGGAGGTAGAGCATGCATCAAGGCAGAGCTGTTACCTGGGCAAGGTGATGATCGCACAAGCTGAAGCTGAAGTCAAGGGAGGGCTGGGATATGTTCAAGAGTTTCTTTGCCCAACAGTTGCATTTAGAGACCTTCATCGAGCAATTTGCAAACTACTGACAAGAGAGGGTGAGGGGCTAGAGTCCCAATGCACTGCATTACTGTCTGGAGGCTGCTTCAAAGAAGTGATGATGGAGTAGGAACTTGCAGGAAGGGCACAGGAGATACAGTTGTCATGGCATGTTCAGTTGCATCTTGTACTCCAAAACTGCCTGAGTCCTACTGCAGGAAGTATTAGGAGAAACCATGGGAAGCATGAGGAGAGAGCAATAGAGGAGCTAGAAGATTTGTACATTGGCAATGGCAGAAATGTTATCTTCATAGGCTAAACCTATAGTTTGTCAACATCTGGCACAATAGCAGCAAGGTTAGAGGTCACATTTACTTTATTTCTTCTTCCAGGTGTGTACCAGATATGTGACACCCCTGCCCCCTGAACCCAACCCAGGCCCTCACAGTGTGAGCTGTGATCCCTCAGTTCATCCACTCAGGCCCAGGACCACATGGGCTCAACTTTAATGTGGGCTGTGTCCCAGCTGGGGCACCTCCTTCCATCCAGCGTCTAACCTGAAACATTGGGCAAAGGCAGGAGCCATGGTGTGGCAGTCGTTCTTTCCTTTATCACAAACTCCTCCACCTGTTTCTGAGGAACCATGTGCAATTGTGGAACAAATGATAGGACAAGCAAGGAGGGCATGATCCAGTCCTTCCATGGCTATTACCAGGCTGTGGAATGTGTCTTGTCTTAGCTAGTAGTGGGGATGGCTCTCTAGGTAGGTCGCTAGGCAACACTTTTTCTATGGGATAATGTTAGGATGCAGCATGTACCATGTCAAGATTCTGTCTTATCCTTCCAGAAGGGACTTCTCCAGACCTGTCCTGGATTCAGGTTACTACAAACAAGCCATACCCCTTCTGGCAGCTGGGTATGTCACCCCACAAGACACCTTCCCAGCTTCAGCTTTCTCCTTGGCTCCCTGAATCCCCCTTTCTTACCCTGCAGTTAATACAGTGGGGGGTGATGAGAATGGAGCTGTGTCTGGGTCTGCAGGCCCTTGTTAGCACAGGCTGCCGTGGCTCTGCATTCTCACTCTACGTGATGCTTAGCCCTTCCTTCCTCACTCTCATTTTGAGAGATGCTGTCCCTGTCTCCACCTCCCACCAGAGCCTTCCAGCAGCCTCCTTGGTTGCAAAAGAGCCCCCATACTGGCTCTACACACTTAGCCACAGGCAACTGCCAGGTTTTTTTCTGGCTGGATATATGCTCCCTACTGATTACCATCCTCTTTCCCATCTTTGATTGCTTACAGTTCCTCTCTCCCACCTAAGACCCATAAATTCCTGATGCCACTATGTGTCACACAGGGAGTTGCTGCCTACCTCAACTACAGGCAGCACTGTAGTCAGCCGAGGCTCGCTCCTCTGCAAAAGAAAACGAGGAAGTCAGTTACGCACACAATCATGCACACAGAGGAGAGTGCACGACATCTTTCCCCAGCCAGAGAACTAGGCTCCCAACACCAGAGTAGGAGGGAATCTGCAACCCACCTGGCTGGTAGTAATCATAAACTTTGATGCTGGCTGGTTTCAGGTTCTTCATCTGAATTACTTGTTCCAGTTGCAGAATGAAAGTCTGAGATTCATCACTCAGCTTGTGGAGTTAGAAAGAAATAAGCAAGGAAGGGGAGAAAGAAGTCATTACATCTTCATCTTCCCTAGTTTGAATGTTTTCTTGCACTAAATCTCTCTAATCCATTAGAGATTCTGGATTTTAGAAATGGAGTATGTGTGAGGAATAGCAAATGCTAACCCAATGACAATGGAATTTCTTTCTTCACCCACAGTTCTACCAGTGCTCTTTCCCCATGCTTAGCCCAGCCTTGGGCTGATCAAACAGCTCCTTGTCCTCTGGCCTCTTGCTCTCGCCGTGCCAAACCAAATACTTTTGTTCCCACTTACCTTCTCCAGATAAATGTAGATCACATCAGCTTTCACTTCTATTTTCTTAACAATGGTTCTGTGCTCCAGCTGGGATAGGAAACAATAACACAAGGAAATTTGTGAGCACTTTCCTTAGGGCTTCCTGACCTGAGGGACCCACTGTTGTATTGAAGGGATGGTGTGGAGATGGACTCTGTGTGGAACTGTATCTTTCTCACACATAAGGGTTTTAGTGGTTATATCTTTGGTAGTCCCTCCTGGACATCCCTTGTGAGCATCTCGGGGATGAGCTATGTGGTCCCTGCTCAGAGGAATCTCCCACTCTGGGGACAAAAGTCCATGTGGATAATACATAGGATTGATGCGTTGGTCAGCAAACAAGTGCAGGCACCAGTACAGAGTCTTGTTATCTTATCTCACTGACTGCTCTTAAAGACCTGCCTAGGAAGTTGTGCAAATAATTAATCTTTCAGTTTTATGGCTTAATTGGGAAAAAAAAAAAAAAAAAAAAAAAAGTCTTTCTGGTACAACTAGAGTCTCTCTAAGAAATCTTGACTTAAAACTGCTGGCAAACAAATCCTGGTGTTCAGTACCACCAGAAGCACATTTTATTCCTGGCTCAAGGCAGAATAGTGTCCGTGGGAGAAGCTGAACCACTTCTGATCTCCCGTAGCCAGCCCCTGAGGGCCCTGTATAGAAATGAGAGGTTATGGCTCAATTACAACAGCCAAGGGCCCCTGCTAATTTAGTTACCTCATGGCCTGAAATGAACAGTTCCCAGCAGGAGCAAGCAGGTGGGACCCATTCACCACAGCTGCTTTTTTTTTTTTTCAATTCCAAAGTCCTTACCAATATCCTGGATCTGGGAGCCAGGATGAATCCAGATAACAGGGAGACCTCCACAATCACCATGTTGGATGTGACTCTGCTCCCAACATAGCTGAAGAAGAAGAAACAGTCAGAGGGTCTGACTCTGTGAGAATAGTGCCCTCCTAGCCCCTCTTCCCTCCACCACCATGCCCTGTGTTCAGGACCCTGAGCCAGGTAGCCCATGCGGGACTGGGACACAGCAGCCACTGCTCAGTCTTGCAGGAGGTAGCCAACACCTTCCTTCCCCTCCCCTTCCACCTACCAAATTTACCCTCTGTTCTGTCCACCCCAAGTGCCTGGTCCTCCCACTACAGCCTTGAGGCTTTCTCAGCTGCTGTCCCCAAGCACAGCAGGTCTTGCTGGAGGAGGAAACAACCCTTGGGGTCACCTGGCAAGGATGCGGACGGTGAGGACATGCGCATTGGCCTGGCTACAGTTGGTCAGCTCTGTGTTGACACGCAAAGTGAAGGTTACAACAGCCCGTGGGGAAGGCTCATGGTACCTCAGCACTGTCTGCAGGGCAAGGACCAGGAGGGGAGAAGACAGGTCAGGCATGATCTCGTGCAGGGAGATGAGACAGAGTCCCCCACCTCTCCTCTCTCCCGTGTTTGTTTCCACCACCTCACCTGAGTGAAGACGCAGCTGCTGCCGTGGACCTGCACCAGGAACTGCCCTGGGACCTCCGTCAGTGCTGCCTGCTGCACCAGCAGCCGCTTCTGGCGGTTGACTTGGAAAGCCTTCCTGAAACCCCTCTGGGACTTCACCCTCACCAGCGCCTGACCTGATATGCTGAATGTCCTTTCTGCGTATTTTGCTAAGGCTTGCAAGGCAACAACTGTGTCCTAGGGAGGGAGAGACAGTCACCCCTCTGAAAGCATCAGCTCTAGTGAAGCTGACTTGGAGCAGGAAGACCTCAAGAGGACTCATCCTGACATCCTTGGGTACAAAAGTATATCAATCCACAGGGAGCTACTTGTTACCTGGGTGGAGGCAAAGCCCCCATAAGCATTCTGCTGACGGGTCAGCCACGCCACAATACCAGCTGCAGTTGTCATGTCACCTGCATGCACCCGTGGCTTAGAGAGGTATGCCAGGAGCACGTAGGCTGTCAACTCTATGTCCACTGACTGGGAACCAGGCCAGATATCTGTGGAAGCCAGAGAGCTTGGCTTGGGGCTCCAGTGGATTTGTCCCTCTGCGGAAGGAAAAGGAGCATGCAGGTTATCTGGAGAGGGCATAGTTGGGGGTTCGCAGGAAACAAAACCCAGAGTGCTTTCAGGACTCTTTCAGCTCATTCCCTGTACCCAGGCCAGGATCACTTTCTTCAGTTTGTTGTCCAGGGCTTCATCTGGTATTAGCTCACAGATTCCTACCTCCTCCCTCAAGAGGATCCTGCAATCCTCCAGGCTGACAAACTTTCTAATAAGCGACCCTCAGAGTCTGTGAAATAACTTATTGTGTTTTCAGTCACACAGTGCATTTATTACGTAAATACAAAGAATATATACAAATACCTATGTCATTTTTGACCACTCCAGCTGGGCATGCATACTCCGGATCCCAGAAGGTGAACAGGAAGCATTAACACAACCAGCAGTCAGTACCTGATTTGATGGCCTGTTCCTCCAATTTGTACAGCAGCTCCTGGGTTGTCTCATAGTCCCCAGCCAGGGCAAAGGCATAGGCCAGCACAGCTTCGGTGTAGATGTTGGTGACGTTGTGAACCACCTGCTGCAGGCAGCGGAGGGTAGTTTGCACCAGTTTGCCCTGTGTTGGAAGGAGAGAAGCATGCCAAACTCTGACAGGGGCAAAACAGGGGGCAGGGGAGTTCATTCCAGACAGCCGAATTATGTTTTCCTGACGTAGCTCCAGAGAAACCCATTAAATTGCACACTCTCTTGAGAAAACAAACAGTGCAGTCCCAGTGTGCACTAGGAGACACTGCCACCAAACATTATTGCATCATGACTGTTTTACAGCACTGTCTCTTTTGAGGAATGACTTCACAGTTTGGCCGAACGTTGGCTCCCTCCCAGCAGCTTGCTACCTGTTCCTGGCCTGGAGAATTCCAGCATTACGAGCTGGCGGATCCCCATAGTGGTGCCCAGGTGTGGGAGCATACAGGAGGGCAGGAGGGATCCAGAGCAGGGGTGTGCTCACCTTCAGTGGCTGACCCAGCTCCAGCAGTGCTGCAGCAACATACGCCCCCAGGGAGATTCCATCATCCATGCTGCCCTGTGAAGGGAATGCACTTTTCACTCTCTAACTGGTGTTTAGAGGGTGCAAGCAGTGACTCCCCGGAAGGAAAAGCATTCCTTTCACATTCCCTGCCTCATACCCTGCTCTCTTTAAGGCTGGTTGCATGGGTTACAGGAATGACTTTCCCGGATCCTTTGGGATCCCACAATCTTTTGCTGTCACAACATTTGTCCAGCCATTCCCCAGCTGTGCTGCCTGGCTTGGCCCTCGTTTACCTTTAGGGAGGAGTGAAAGTGGCTCCCTTTGGTGGCAAAGCAGCCACTGGGGAGCTGGTTTTGCTCTAGCCAGCGTAGGGCATCCTGGATGTTCTTGTCATCTATATAGATGTATTTTCTGGCTTGGCTGAAACTCTTGACTACAAAAGCTGTCAGCCTAGGAAGAGGATGAGAGTAAGAGAAAGAGAAACACACAAAAAAAAACAAACAAACAAAAAAAAACCAACAAAGTCAAAGGCCTCCTGGTGCTTTTCCCTAAAGTTAACACTGACATAGTGAGGTGCCAGAAGAGAGTCATTTTCATACAGAAAGGCAAGCTGAAAGTGGAAATGGTGCACAGGACCCAAGTGGCTCCTCTAGCTCAGCCTGGCTTCACAAATTTACTACTCACGTACTACTGCTTTACCCAGCCATTTCACAGGTGAAAAACCTCTTACCCCTTCTACTTTTACCCATTGCAGTCCATCTCCCCCAAATACTTAGAGACAATCCTTAATTCCCCATTTTCTTCCTCCCTTCCTTTATTCATTTCTCCCAGCCCAGACACCACAGGGTCAAGCTTGGCCAATACAGCTCTTTCAAACTCTCCCAAGCAATATACCCCTCAGGGAGATGATTTTCTATTGCTCTTCCCTGATCTACCTCCAGGCACTATGTACCCCTCTTGGCTGCTGGGACACCACCAGCAGTACCTGGTGTTGTCTGTGGGGCAACAGCAGGACCATATGGTCCCACTCCTGGGACCATATCTTTGTTGTTTCACTTTCCCAGAAACTCTACTGCCCTGCTTCACTACTTTTTCAAGTGTCTCAAGCCCCTTAATCTGTCTCCCTACTAGAGAGCTCCTGGTGTCTCCATCCAAAAGAAGAAACACACATCCTATCATCTTTCCCAGGCACATTAGCTGCTCTGGCCCAGACAGTAAAATCAGGAGTGAGGGATATTTGCAGTGCTTACCAAGTGTTCCCTTCCCCATCCTGCTGCCCAAAGACACTGTAGGACCCATCTCTGTGCCTATAAAGCAGCTGCATCTGGTACCCTGGAGAGGTGAGAACAGTGATTAATCAGTACAGTAACACAGAGGGGGCCAACATTGACAGAGTGAGTGCAAGAGCAAGAGCTATAGGTAGGTTGGAAACAGGGGAAGGCAGAGGAGCAAGGTGGGTCTGTTGTACTTGCCATTGCGCAGGAATCTTGTTGCCCTCTCCTTGATCTCAGGGGTCAGCTGCCTCGTCTTCTCCAGGTACTGCAGCACATAGACAATGGGGACAAACAGCACCATGTTCTGCTCCCCACAGCCGTGGGGCATCTGCACCAGACGGTCCAGGTTCTGCAGTGCCGTCCCCATGAGGTCACCTGCACAAGGGTGTGAGAAACAAAGCAAGTGTGAGTATGATCTGAGGTGCTTCTCAGCCAGGCAGTGTGGATAATAGCACTTCATATCAGCATAGGAGGAAAACACTGGAGAGAGAAGGAAAGAGGAGTAAGCAACCGAGTGCAGAATGGAGAGTGGTGACTGTTTGCCTCTTCCCAGTCTGGCATCATGATGCAGGGTGACCACACTATGGAGTCCCTGAGGAACTTTCCCTTACCAGCTTTTGCAATATGAAGGGCTCCATCCATAACAAATACTATATGTAAAAGGCTATGAGCAGAGCTGCAGTTGTTCAGTGTTTGTCATACAGACAGACAAATAATATAAAAGCACTTAGGGAAAACTTGAGATATTTCTGGTCTTTAGCCAGGCCTGTTCTACCTGGCCATATGTCTGGCATCAAAATGTCAGTAAGCCAGCAGGGGTGCTAGGCAGATGGTGTGAAGGTGTCCACATGTCCTCCAGCCAGCCAGAAAAGGCTTGTATTCAGTTTCTTTTTTTGACATTCTGTTGCATAATATCCATGGCTACTTATGCCAGGCCTGGCTTCATACCAATTCTGGCATTGGGGTAAATGAGCCCAGTGCAAAGAAGTGTACTGAATGGTAGTTATGTCTGGTCCCAGTAGCCTCTCCAAAGCGCTTTTTTGCAACTTAGTAATGCTGAGAAGAATTTCTTTTGTCCAGGAGCTTTTGTTGTAGCAGCAAAACGTAACAGGGAGACAAGATGGTTTTGAGCTTTGCTGATTGTATCTACACGGAATTAGCCAAGGTCCCAAAGTCCAACTAAAAATAATGACCTAGAGTCTCCACTCCAAAGTCATAACTAGAAAAATAAGAATTATTGTCCTCTGCAGATCACTTTTCTCATGAAAACCTAAGTGCTAATCCAAAAGTCTGGTGTTGGCAAACCTTGCAGAGAACATAAACACAGTATCCTCTCTTTTGAGCAGTTTCATGTCAAATGAATCCTTTGACACCATCACCAAGGTAAGTATCGCTCATCCATATCAGCAGTCCGTAAGACCACGATCAAAATCACTTACCTGAGATGGAAATGGAAGCCCTGGCAGATTGCTTTACTACATTGTCAGGGAGGCGAAGGGACACAAGTTCTTCAGCCATGTTTCCTGACAATGACAGGATAAAGGTGTAGCATGAAAAATCAAGCCTAATGCATCTAACCAGAGGGACAAGACTGGCACAAATAAATGGGACACTGCCTACATCCTGCTCACAAGAATTGCTCCCTACAGTCTGTCTCAGTCATCACACTAAGCTCCATTGCCTGGAAACTTTGCAGATTAGTAGAAACGCGAGAGCTGCTGGCCAGGCTGAGGCCTCACCAAGCTTCACAACTCAATTCATTATGCTTCTCAAGCTTGACAAGAATCACAACTGGTCATCACTCAGCAGGAGAACATCCTGGAGAGACTTGTAATGATGCAGGGACAGGGTGGGAGGGTTGGAGCAGCTCTCACTTGTGACTACCAAGACCCAGGAATGGCCAGGGGCTGCAGTGTGGAAAGGAGACTACAGAGCAGGATTTTGCCACCTATACTCAGTGGCAAATTCAGTAGGACAGCACACGTGAAAGTAATATTTCTTGTTCTTTTCTGTTTGATAGGAAGTGAAATTTCCTATGTGAAAAATCATTTGAAAATATTCTTTCAACAGACCTCCCACAGTTTAGTCCTACTCTTAGGTCTAATTATTTCAGACTGCAGAACCCATTCAGGCTGTCCACATACCTCCTCTCGGGCACAGAAGAAAGCTGTAAGACTTCTCCACTAACACACCTTCTGGCTGCCAGGGCAGGAACACGAACATGGGATAGAAGAAATAATAATACACACAAAATTCCCAAACAGCAGCCAAATTTCAGAGCAAGTTCAAGTCTGAATTCAGTGGTTAGTCCCAAGGCTGTCAGGGACTCCATCCTTCTCACCTTTGGCAGGTCTGCTCAGATGCTGACTGCTTCACAGCTCAAAAGAGCAAGAGCGTGTCTAGGGTATGGGGCTCTCTGGTCAGTGAGCATATACAAAAGCTCATGTACAATGGGTGATTGGGCAGGGAAAGGTACAGGGAGAAACACAGACATGGTGTATGAACGCAGCTCAAGAAAGAGTACCCCAACTAGGGAATAGACTTGGCTAGGTCCTGGAAGGAGCAAAACAAACTGAGCCTTGGTATGCTAATGATGGCCAAAAAAATTATAAGAGAAAATCATTTAGCCCAGCTCAGCCTCCCTTCCTCCAGGGGCAGGGATACTCAGAGAGAGAAATGTGCCTGCTCTCACACTGACCTGGACCAGCAAGTGTTTGACTAGCATATGCCTCCGCCTCATGGTTGCTGGCAAGGGCTTCCTGCCTCCACACCGTGATGTCGTGTCCAGTACCTCTATCCTCACTGTGATATTCAGAGTCCCTAGCAAATAAATTGAACAGAACCTGTTTATTATACCTGTGGCCAAGTGGAGTCAACTTGTTTTAACTGATATTGGTCTGAGATGCCTCAGGTGGCTGGTCTTCCTAACCTCAGTGGTTTGGCTGGTGAGGGTGAGCCAGCCAGTACTGATAGATTGTTCGGACACCCTAGGCATGAAGGAACTAGGTAATGTCTCACCAGCAGTGACTTCAATGCACTACATATGACTGTACCAACAGAAGGTCCAGCAGTGCCTTGCACTCCAGTGCCCCCTTCCCATTGATATGAAGCACAGCACCAGCAATACAAGGTTCCCCCACCCACATGCCTGCAGCCCCTTTCTCCCTAGCTGGTGCTGCAGCCATCTCTTCAAGAGTTCTTCATGCCACCCATTCAGTTCCTGCCCTCACTGATGAACCTGTCTAAGAAGAGAGAAACAGACACAATGGATCGCATGTTTGAACCACTAAGAACAAACTTTGGGATCCAGAGGAGGCAAGACTCTGCCAGCTTCTCTGGACCTCCCACTCCCTCTCACTTCAGTTTTAGGGTTCCCCATCACTGCTCCCATTTTTGCTGCTGTACCCAGCTGGACTGCTGTCACATTCCATGTGAAGGTCTTGGATTCCTCTGCACACAGACACTCCTTGTCCCTGCAGGTCCGGCATGGCTCCACCTGGAAGTCTGAGGATTTAGCCAGGGCCACATGGATCTGAAGGAATGACAGATACAGGCTAGTGACTGGGCAGCTCAGGAGAGATGGCTTGGCACAACGTGCTCCAAAACTGGAGGGCATGGTAGGTCTGTCCCACACAGTGCTACCTGTGGCACACGCACACACCTGTATGCACTGCTGCAGGTAGTTGAAGACACTAGCTTTCAGCGCGAAGGTCTCTCCTCGGATGACAGAATATGGTACTGTCACATCCACAAAGAAGGGCTGGATCGTTCTGAGGCTTGTGGATGGGGCAAGGCCAAATCCCCTCCCAGCCAAGCAGAACATCTTGATTTTCCACTCTGTGGCAGTAGCAGGTGCTGTGACCAGGACAGTCCTGCTACCGTTGGAGCTGAGAGGAAGAGAGCACTTGCATGAAGAAGTTCATCCCACTCCACTTCACAATGAGGAGGGTTCATGGTCCTGGGTGAGGGAGGTTATATGGGTCCTTATGCTCAGATCAATCTCTGCTATATTCCTAATGACTTCTGTTCCAGTGGCTCACAGAAAGGCATCTCTGTGTAGTTTGTTGCCTAGAGCCATAAACCCTACTTAAATGCCATCAGTAATGGCTTTATACCCTTCTCCTGAACAAGAAAATTCCTGAACATTCCAGCTCTGTACACTCAGTCAACAGCATGATGTCAGCCAACAACATGATGTTCTGGAAAACAGCAGCACCTTATCCTCCTGAGTGCCGATCCATCAGTCTTGATTTAAGCACTGTGGCAACAAGGGCTACAAATTTAGCTGGTGCACGCACCAGATTCAGAAGTTATTAGAATGTACCCCAATGTGTGAAGAGAGGATAGTTGGTGATTTGGTCTTGAAGTGTATGGCGTTTCTCTAAACCTGTGTAGACTTCAGTTCTGCACCTCAAAGTCTACTAGTCTTTCAGTTTGATGCACTACAAATGCAGGGAAGAGCCACAAAATTCACATGCAGACCTCTCTTTACAGCTGCGACTGGACTTTCAAACAAATGTAAGTCAGCCAAGACTAAATAACAAAGGGATCATCCTTCTGCCCATTTGTAAAGTCTGGCATCACTTACCCAACAGAGTACAGATTCCAGATCCAAGTTTCAGGAAAATAATGGTGCAGTCCTCCCTGGGTTCTAAATTGAGGTTGTTCCTTAGTGATTCTTTGGTCTTCTGTAGAAGGCCCTACTGAAAGAAAGAATAAGGAGTGGGGAGAGGTGAACCCTGCCAATGATAGACAGCCCAGAACTGGGGCAAAAGGCAAAGCAAGCAGTAAGAAAGACATGGGAAGAGTCTGGCAGAGGAAAACACAAGGTAGTACGCTGATTTGTTAGGGGAAGAAAAATAGGAAGGGAAAAGAGAGTGATAACAGGAGAACCAGCTTGCAGTGAGCTGGTTGCACATTTTCCAAGACATGGTTAGACAAAGCCCCTTGCTGACCTGACTCAGAGTTGGTGCTAAAGAGACTTCAGAGAGCCATTTGAACCAACACTTCTGTAATTCTGTGAATAACAATACTGTTTTCTTGTCCGCAGAAAACTCTCAGCCCTTTGCAAGCAATGGTTTAAATATCAGCGGGAGTGTAATCCAACTTATCATGATTAATTAGTGCAAACTGAGACATAGAGGAAGGAAGTGACTGTCTCTACAACTGCAGGTAGAGACAGAAACCAGGTCCCAGCGCATCCTGTGAGGTAGTCACTGGGAAACAGATCTGAGCCCACACTTGGGTTTGTTTGTGCCAGGAAAGGGAATGCCATCCTTTAATATCAGAGAACATCCAGGTAGTGACATTCTTCAGAGTCCTTTTTATAGGAACTGGGTCATTCCTGCCAAGGCTGGTGGACTGGGCAGCTAGATTGCAGCAGCAGCACCCATCACTCCTCAGAGAGGCAATATCTACTGCCAGCAAACCCCAGAGATCAGAGGGCTCTTCTGTCTGGGTGACATCATGTCCCAGGTAGGCTGAAAATGCAGCTCACCTATGGTCAGCTTCCTATCTGCCCGATGAAAACACTGAGATGGCTTCTTGATTGCAAGGTTTGAGAAGATTTTCAGCCCCATGTTCTGTTAAGAAAAGGAGGGCAGGGGAGGCAGAAAAGCATCTGTGAGTGGGGAAGAGTGGCCACAGCTCTACAAAATGACTCTGAAAACCATCAGGGCCAGGACAGCCTGGCACCTGGGAGGCCCAGAGCAGCATTGGCCCAAGCAGATGCAGTGCTGAGGGAGGCAGGGCACAGCCTCCCCAACCCCTTCTTTCTCAGGGGGTCATTAAAGCACCACCTCTCTTCTGGGGGACACTGGAATGTCTTGCTCATCCCAACACATTTCCAGTGGCAAGGGCACAGATGAAGGGTGTCAGTGTCCTGCCTCATCCCCTCATGCATTCTGCAGGGAATAGCTGGATGAAATCTTCCCTCTGAAATCATACAGAGGTGTGACAGGGAGCACACACCCCATTCAGCCCCTGGGTTTGTGACACGGGCCTGTCCACAAGCACAATAGATGTCCCCATGCTCAGAAGGAGCCTCCTAGGACATGTCTCTATTGATAAATAAAAGAATGCAGGGTCTGATCCCCAGGTCCATATCCAAATGGCACTGCCTGTCTTATGGTCATGCTGCTTAAGGCTAGCCCTTTCTAGATGAGATCTGTTTTAAAGACACCAAGAGATCTACCTGGATACAGCCCAGAACAGTGTCAGAGAACAAACCAACTAAGCCATGTCAACAATCTGTGGTCTAATGCTTGGGATAAGTCCCTGTCTCTCTTTCCTCTAATACTATAGACAAAGAGTACACAGCCCAGGACCTCGTTCCCAAGCCCAAAAAGCTGGGTTTTGCTGGTCCAGGATGTGATCATCTTGCTTTCTGCATCTGTGGAGGGGGATACAGATCTTCACACTCACAATAGTATCGTACATCTCTTCAGACAGCACAGCTATGTGAAGACAGGCAGCAGAAGCTGTCTGGAGAAGGCAAGGCCTTCTCAGACTGCTTGGGGAGAAAGATATCTCAGATGCTTATGATTTCAACAGCTCTGGGAAAAGTAATGAGATGATTACCCGGAAGAGGTTAAAGATGTCAGGCTGAAAGGAATGTTCTGGCCTCCCTCGTAGCAGAGATGACATGGACTGGGGCTGAACACAGTGATCTGAATGCTCTTCTACTTGGGCAGGGTATCCATGTTGGTAGGCAGCAGGGAACAAACCATAGACCTAGGGAAACTCGCAGGCAGGGAAGAATTGGGCAAGGATAAAATACTTCTAAATGCTTTGCTCCACCCACCCCTAGCATACATATCTGTTTCTGCCCATCTCCCTAGGCAGTCCGCACTTTCTCCTCCACACAGAGACCTCCTCATCCATTAGCCATCGCCTCCCCTTGCCACAACCCCTTCCTGCCTCACCCAGCTGATCCATCACTCCTGGTTTTTTTTTGCCTGGTTGCACAGACACTCACCATTTGGCTTGTTAGCTCACTTTCTGGTCTCATAAGGAACATGTTTTCATCCACTGCCTGTACTGCGCACAGGGAGCCAGGGGCTGCCTGCAGTTGGAGCTGCACTGTTGACCCTGGATGAGCTTCTTTAGCTGGAAATCCTACCTTGACCTTGAGTGACACACCAGGACGGGAAATATGAAAAAGAGAGAAAGAGGGGTGAGGAGGCTGACAGGCAGGCAGCACAGACAGAAGGAGGGAGACGAGCTGGAGTCTTCCCTGCTCAGCCACTGCTATGAGCAGAAGTCACTGCTGAAGTTTTTCTGATGGTCTCTGGGCACTGTGCTGCAGACATCCCCTTCCTCTCTTCTCCCCATTTCTCTCTTTGAAGGATCTGAGGGTCTACTTCCCTCAGGCCTGCTGACTCTTGCTTGTCAGCTCTCCCCCCGCCACAGGAGTGAGTCTCACCTGGTTTTCAAAGCACAAGGCAACATCAAAACGAATGCTGTCAGCTGCTACCCCTCCATTGGGAAAGATGGTATACACCACTAAGGAAGGTGATGGGGTGAAGTCAGCAGTGAAGGTCAAAGGGATGGAGAAGGAGCCCTTCAACACTGAGGAAGGAAAGACAAGGTGTTTTCATCACAGTCCCACCAAGGTCTCCTTCTGCCCTCCTTTTTTCTGCTTTATAATCCCACAATGTCAAACCAATTCCTTCTGCTCCTCTGCCTGCCCTCTCCCTCCATTCTCTGACCATGTGCTCCATCTTCCCACAGATCCTCCCAGTCTCTCTTCCCATCACTGTTTCCCTCATTCTTTTTAGCCTCTTCCAGATGACACAATTCCTTCCTTAGCCTCCCTCTGTCCTGTTCACTGACTGACCAGGACCTATAGATTCAGGGAGCCTGGGAGAAACTCTGGCAATTCTCACTGTCCAACCTGGAAACCCACTGCGTGCAACTGTTTCCTGTTGTCTAACTGCCATAGACTTACTGTTCAGCTTTCCAACTTGGACACTCCTCTGGCCTCTGACAACAATTCCAGTCTTTCCAGTGACCTTCAGGAGGAGGGACACGGGATGAGCAGACTGCTGTTTGCCGCTGGACTGCAGTCACACTCACGCATGTGCATTTTGCTCTCCTAAGAAACCTCAGAAATAAACCATGGGTCCAATCCAACCCCACACCTTAGGTCCAGCAGATTTGCAGACATCACAGTGTGGGAGGAGAAGCTTTAACACATGAGATCCTGGTCTGTCCAGTTAGGACAATGGATGGGGAGTGGGTTCACATGAGATAAGTGAGAGACAGCTAAGGTATTTCCCCTCTAATAGGCAGGTCTCCGGATTGGCCAAAGGCAATTTCCACTGAGCAGCTGTTTGATAACCAGAGTGAAAAGTGATCCCCCGTACAGTTTTAAAGGAAGAAGAGTTTGACAGCAGACTCTGCACAAGAGACTTCCCGCTGCAGCCTTGGCAGAGACTAAGGGGGTGATGGGCTGCAAAAGTAGAAGCCTCGTCCCATCCACGGAGGTGACTGGGTCACTAATACCAGGATCACACTGTGGACAGGTTGAGCTTTACTGGGTGCAGTGTTCACCCAGTTCTCCACAAACGAGTCTTTCCTGTCATCACTCCAGGGATGATCTAAATTACACCCTCAACATTTCACTGGGGTCTGGCCCCACCAGTGCAGCCTTTCCCCCCAAGTTCTCTCCTACCCTTACTCACATAGTACACAAAACCTATGCGGCTGGTGTCTTCTCCCAGGTCATCCCTACTGAGTGTGAAGGTCACCTGGACGTTCTGCTTCAGCCCACAAGGTAGTGTTTCTGTGAGTGGGTGTATGTCCAGGAAGCTTTTGGTTGTGATGTGGAAGGGCTGCAGGTGATGGTAAGCGTTTGTGTAACTGAAGTCAGTTTTTTGAGGTGTATGCATGAGATCCTCCAGCGTGAACCTTCCCTGAGAGGGAACCAGAGACACACAGAAATCAATATTTTCATACCTCAGTGCTTTGTTAGGATGTCATCAGCTTGGTTTGGGAAAGGCTGTTGCTTAGTGCCTTCCTGCTGGCTCTGCACAGGCAGAGCTGTGTGGGGAGCCCATGCCTGGGCTGGCCAGGGGAGCTGTGGGGCAGGAGTGGGGAGCACTGGCAGAGCTCAAGGATTCTTGCTTTCCTGTATGCAGTGGTGGGATTTACCTCCAAAGAGACTGATGAGCTGTTCCAGGCAGTTGTGTCCAGGTTGAACGACGCTATTCCACTGTCATCTGTGATGTATGTTTTGATAAACCGACGCCTCATGAACTTTATAACGAGATAAACTTTTCTATTTTTCATACCATTTCCATAGTGATCCTGAAGCTTAATCTGGTGAAAACAGAGTGAGATAGAAAAGACAAATTCAGATAGTTCTTCCAGTGTCATACCCAAAACCTTCCTCCCTCTGACAAACACAGAGCATCCTGTGTGGATGGCCTTAACTTCAGCCTGGCCCCAAGAAGAGAGACCTATAAAACTCCCTCGTCTCTAAATCTAAGATGAAAGTGATTAAAACCCATCCGCTCCAAAAGGTGTGTGTGGCTAGAGCATGAGGAGCTCATCTCCTGGACAACAGCTGAGATATCCTTGCATCCCAGCATCCCTGCTGAGACATCATTCATTGCTCTCAGAAGCTGGAGGTGTAAACACATCAGGGAAACTGAAATGCAGAAACTGGAGCCACACTGTCAACCCATGTGACGCATGGTAAAGTACTCTTTATGAGGAACAGAAAATGATTTGGGTCAGCAAAATTTACCAGACACTAAATTTCTTGGCAAATGATGAGTGAAGAAGCAAGGGAAAAAAAATCACCTTCCCCCTGTACGGTACTCCAGGGATGTAGTATGCATTTGGTGTCTCAAACACTGCCCTTGGAGCTGTCCTGGAGATGAGGATTTGGCTGGAAGCATTGATCTGAACCCCTGTTGGAACGCAGAGTGCAAGGGAAGCAGGGTCTGCATCAGAGGTGGCTACTGCACCCTAGTTTAATCTCATTTTGTTATTCCCAGCACTTCCTTCCCCACACCAGCACCCGTCAGGGTTTGGAGGCTGCTCCTGTGGCAGCTCCTTCTTTAGTTAAGACGCCTCCAAACCCCTTTGTGGCCTCATGGCCCACACTCCCAGCCACACCTCATCCACCCGCTGCTGGCAGAGTAGCTGTCTGTGGGCACAGCAAGTTCCTCGAGCAGGACCACTCGCCCTGTCCTGTGATGGTCCCAGCACCAGGTGGAGGAGAGAGGAGGAGGTGTGCCCACTCCCACCCTCACACCCCCAGAATGGTCGCTCTCGCCCTTTCATCTTCTCTGTTGAGCCCCTGGGTACCTGAGCCCATCTCCAGGAGAGAGGCTTCTGCATAGAGCTTGCTATCTGCCTCGCTGGGAGCCAGGTTGAAGGCTGACATGCTTATAGAAGGGGTGAAGCACCCCTTGCTCATGGTCTGCAATAGGAAGTGGTAGATGTTATTTGGGACTGGGGAGAAGGGAAAGAGTTAGGAGTACAAGGTGTTAGACATTGTTGTAACTGTAACAAGTAGTAATACAAACTCATATACAGATAGATATGGTTCACATTTTAAATTCTGGGGTTTTTTTCTATTTTATATGCATGAATATGTGTAATTCGTATTTTAGAAATATAAAACAAAATAGGTGTCACAGTTTTATTGAAGTTACAATGTTGGCAACTTTCCGGCTTTAGTAGAAATCTGAAGACTGCACTAACTGGATCACAGAGCAAATATATGAGTATTTAAATAGACCTAGCTAGAAGAACTTAAAAATCAAATGAAAACTCAAAGTACCAAAATAATTTCCAGATCTGGAAGTTTACAACTACCATAACAAGCCATAATGACAAATCATAAAGCGTGAAAAGTTTTCAAGCCTGTACGTACAATGGAAGGCCCCAGCTATGAAATACTTTGTTAAGAATGGAAAGATGTAATAAAATATAAAAATATGCAGTATATAAAAAAGATAAAATAAAGTATAAAAACTACTGTGTGATTTGGCTATGGAATTAACAATGTCTTCACCATATATTCCAGGATAGGTTCACCTTAACAGGGTAATGTCGCACCTGCAAGAGCTCTATTAACTGTTGTTTCTTACACTGTATGAATTTCTGACCAGAAAAGAACAGAACTCTAAAACTTTCAGTGGAATTCCTCTATCATTAATATATTCCCTTCAGAAATTGCCCCCATCATTAATAAGCAAAGTTACATAGAACTTCTGGGTGCAAAGGCTTCTCAGCTGGCCTGGCTACAATAATTGCATTAATTGAATAAAAACAATTACTTATTAGTCTACATATATGTTACAGTGGTTGGCAAATCTTCCTTTGTTAGCAGTTCATTCTGCTCACTCAGCCCTTGACACTCAGTCCTGTGTGGTGTTGCTTCACTACCCATGTATCTTCCAGGATTTTACTTACCGGACCACTGTATTCCCTACAGATGTCCTTGCTGGCATTTTGAGGATGCCTCCGTGCCTTCTGGCACAAAGTGACCCACACCGTCCCTTGCACTGCTTTCCCATAGCTGTACCTGCAGGGAGCACACCAGAGGAGCTGCTGAGCAGAGCCACAGTGTGTCTTCCTGAGCCCACCGGTCCACACAAGTGGCCATCCTGATGAAGGTCTTAATGAAGCTGATAAGCAGGCAGGCATAAATGAAAATATAGCACACCGTGTGCTTGGGGAGTGCAAAAGCACAGTCCTGCGCCCAACAGAGGCAGAAACAAAGCACAGACAGGAAAGGACCCACACCCTCTGAAGCTCTCCCACTGCTGGGTGCTTGCTGTCCTGGAATTGGAGGCAGACACAGACGGCTGACCTGACCTGATGTGTCCCTGCAGCACAGAGCAGCACCCAGTTGAGATATTAGCTCAGGTGTGAAAGCAGCAGAAATCTGCATTCCTGCAGAGAGCAACAGCAAGTCCATGGTACGGCAGTAATAGAGCCACAGAGTGACCTCAGACCTGCCTTCCTGTAGGTTTATCTCATGATCTGGACTCTTGTTTCCATCATCAGACCTGCTCTGCTGGTTTTTGCAAGGTACCACAGAAGTGTGCCCTTGTCAGGGCAGATATTTCCCCTGACTGCCTTGCTGCGTTTCCCTGCTTTAACTCCTCTCTGGCTTTCCCTCTGGAGCAATGATCCTGACAGTATCAGTAACAGGAAGAAATCTATGACACATCCTGGGGATGCAGAGTGTTGTATTGTTTTCTACTAGAGCTTCATATGGTCTAATTTGGAAAGTCCCAATTAATGAGAAATTATGTCAGACCAGTGGCAAAGAGACACCAAAAGTCTCTGGACAACCCAGACCCAAATACAAATGAGCTCACTCCCTTTATCTGCTTATAAAGTGCTTTCCAGATCATTCTCCTTCCTCCTTTGTGCTTATACCATCTGAGGTCACACCTTCCTTCACACCCTCATCTGCTCAGTTTTTGCTAATAACTACATAACTAGAGAAATGCATCTGCTGCTTCTAAGAAGGTACTAAGTTCAGCAGCACGTAAATGAGGAGGAACAGCATAACCTTCTAAAGAAACACCAGTTCTTGTTCCTTTACCTCAGCAGATCAGTCCCATAACGTATATGTCCTTTTCCTCACATAAGGTCTTTCGAGGCAGGACACACACAACTTCCAGAGCAGGGTGTCACTTGCCTCAGACAAGTGTCCCTACAGCTGAACAGTCTCTTCCAAATGTGGCTTGTGTACCTCTTCCCCAAGGAAAAACCCACCAGTTTGACTCTTGCAATAGTTGGGATTCTTCTAAAGGAACAACTGTGTTTGGCCCTTCTCGAGCCACTTCTCCTTGATGGATTCAAGAGATAAGAGACATACAGAAGGAGAGACACAGTTTTGATGAACTCTTTCCTTTCCTCAGAACATCCTCCTTACCTGCCACACACACGCAGTGGGAAAGTTTTATCTAAAGCATAAATGTGATCTGGTCCCTCAAAGAAAACATCAAACTTCTGCAACACTGGAACAAAAACCACAGAGTTACTCCATCAGAGGCAACAGACTACCTAGACATGGAATCACAAAGGAAAGAGTGTGTTCATGTTAAGTAGGAGTTCCATGAAGGAACATGTTCATGAGGTAAAAACAAGGACTAACTAAAAACAGGGAAACCAAAAAAAGAATCCCCTTTTTTCCCCAGCATACAAACAGTCTTGCAGAGGTCTTTGGTGTATTCTCATTCTATGCCAGCCTAGTTGTTAGCAGATACCTTCTCCAAGAATCTCTAGCGCAATCTCCCTTGTGTTCATTTCAGATACTGCCCACTTTATAGATTTGTGTTTAATCCTAGCTCTCAGACAGTAAATCTTAGTTTACAATGTTTGGCTATATATTGTTTTACAGAAGGAAACAAGCAACATTTTCCATCCCATTCTTTGGTCTCCATACTGCATCTTACCACGTTCCTCCACCTTAAAGGTACTGGACACTTTTGGGTTCACCACATTGATGGTGTAAGTCCCCAGAGAGAGTTCGGCAGCTAACTGGAAAGAGAGATCTGCAATTCCCTGTTTTGGTCTCACATCCAGCCACTGGCCAATGCGGTTTTGGCTTGGGTCCTGCAGTCCAAGGGAAGGAAAGAAGAGGCAGTCATCAGCAGTGCCTGCTATTCTCTACCCAGAGCCCACTGCATTCAAAGACATTTCAGAGATTTCAGATTTCAGAGATGGTGCCGAAGTGACCTGAGTGCTGGAGCCCCAAGAGGGGTCAATCCAACCCTCCCAGGGTTACTCTACTCTGTATTGCCATTGAAAAATGAGATATGAAAGATCTTGACATTTAGACTCTCCAGTCTTAAGATGAGCTGTTAGCTAAAGCCTGGCTGGCATTCCTGAATGCAAAAATGGAATTTTTATGGAAAAAAAATGGAAATGAAACAATTTAGATCATCAAGGCTTGTTAACAAGAAGCATGTGGACAGAGTATGCATGTGCATGTGTGTACACAGACCCTAAGAAAAATAACTTGACTTGGTAAGACAGCAGCCTAAGTATTATCCATACTGAAGTACCTTTCCTCAAAACACCTGAGGAGTCTGAAACACCCACCTGGACTTCCACCACAGCATACTGCAAAGCAAACAGACAGCAATGTCAGAAACAGGCATGATACTGTAACTTGAATATAAACTTATCTTACCCACCTAGCCTGTATGCTGTGTCAACACCTCCAGTCCCAAATATTACAATACAAGGAGCTTGATCCTACCAAAACCAGGAGAATGGCTTTGAAATAGTAAGGAAAATATGTAACATCTATGCTATTCTTTGGATTTGCTTTTTGATCCCTGAATTTGTAAGATGCACTCTGATAGATACTCTACAACTGTGAAAGCTAGAATTTACTATAAAAAAAAAAAAAAAGACAAAAGTAGACACACTCATAAATACCATAAAAACAAGTTCACAAATACTAAAAGGCAGCACTTTTGTAATATAAATCCCAAGAATTAGCAAAACTGTGTCACCTGTAGGAAGAATACACCCCACATTTTCCTGCAAAATCCCTGGCCTTGCAGGTAAGGCTTGGGGATATAAATTACTGCTGACTGCAGCTGACAGTAGCAGGGAGGCACAAAGAAGGACATGCTTCAGCCCTTCTAAGCCTATTAATTTTGTGTTTGTTCTTATATCACTGCACCTATCAGTCAGCAGGAAGTAGTGATGAAGGACTTGTGGTTGGGAGCACAAGGCTAAGGAGGCAGGAGCAAGGGTTTGGAAGACTAATTGGTCTGTAAATAGAAAGCCATATGTAATTCACGTTACTCATCATTCTAAGCTTTCATGCAAGTTATCATAGGCAACTCTGTTTTCACTGAAACAACAACAAAAAAGTGCAAGTTAACTATTTTCATAACTTGACTCTAATGCCAATGCTAAAGCAAAACGTGATGTTGAATGACACCTGTGTTATCTCCAAACCATCTAATTTATGAACTAGATATTATAGCTTCAATGCTGCAGTGCACTCAAGCCTCATAATAGCTTTTGTTAAACATGACCTCTTTTGAATTTTCATCACAACATTATTAACAGTCATAATGTTAATTTACTTATACTCACGCATAGGCATCAAACATTTATGGTCAAATATCTTCATGAACCAATTGTAGGTATGGAAGCAAATATATTGTTTACTCTATTATCTAACTAATATAAGAGATATGATTTCTCTGTTGAGATGAGAAAGGAATGGATGATCCTAGGCCCTCATAAATAGCCCAAAAAAGATGAAATTCAGTCAACAATAAAGAATCTGGAAGGATCTTGCCCTTTATTTCAGTCTGGAGGGATATGATCCAACTCTCTGCTCACATGTGCCCTTCAGTATTTATCTGTCATGGCATGAATTCCTCTTGGCTCTCCTTAAATTGCTTGAGGACAGAGAAGCGTGAAACAGCTATAGCTGCTGGCTACAGATATAATTGCTAGATTATCAGAAAGATGCTAGTCTTGCAGTTTCCCGGCTAGCACATATGCAAGTCTCTGGCAACCTCTTGCTCCCTTGACATGGGGAGAATGAGCTGCTGCCAGCATCAAGTCAGTATAATTTGGTTATACTGCTTTCTCTTTCTTTTTTTTATGATCACTTCATGCATATCCTTTCCCATATCAATTGATTTTTCTTAAAATTTTGCAGATGCATCACAGCTTGCTTCAGACCCTTCCATCACCCTGAGGTGCAACACGCTCCACAAAGTGCTGAGCTTTCCAGAGCTGCGGGAGGGGGATCTTTCTGTCTGGCCAAGTCTGTACCCAGCTTGTCTGGTAACTGAGTCCATGGCCAGCAGCGGGGACAGGTGCCCACAGCTTCCAGGATGCCCTGTATTGACTCAGCTTGCCGGGAATGTGGGCACACTCCCCACATACCACCAGCAGCACCAGCCCTCCCACTGGCCAGCAGCCATCCTGAGAAAGAGACGGCACAGCCGTTGGCAAACGGGCACTGCTCTGCCGATCCAGTGTAGTGGAGGGTTGGCATTGGCCACCCTGTGAGCTGCAGGACTTGAGATTGTCTCAGCCTCCACAGTGTGGGGCTGGCAGAGGAGGTAGAACTGACAGAGGGAGCCTGGAGGCTTTACCTTGCTGTTAACGGGAGCAAAATCTTGGGTCAATGTCACGATCCGGAATTTCACTGAAGGGAGAAAATGGAGGAGAGCACATTATAAAGATGCAGTGCATTTGGGACTGGACTTGCCTCACCCTAAAATCACAGCTCCCCAGAGAGACCTACTGGCAGCCCTATTGCTGCCCTGCAGCCTTTAACCCTTGTTCAGCTCAGCTCACCGCCTCTTCCCCCTCAAATGCATGGCAGCAGCACAGCAGCCAGTCTCACAATTTAGGGTCTTTTCCATGGGCTACACCCAGAGTCACCCTTACATTTTCTCATCTGCAGTGTGAGCAGACCAGTCCTACCTGGACCTAGCCAAGAAGACCATGTTCAGGTCTGCTCCCTCTTCCAAGCTAGCACTGCTCCTAGAGTGTATGTGACCAACCCTTCCAGTCCCCTCCTGCCCCTAAAACATAGTGCACAGATACATCGCTCCAGAAGGCAGCAGATAGCTTCCCCCTCTGTCCCCATGGAGGCCGCATGATACAAAGCACTCATCACACCACCCATGAGAAATTGGGAATAAAGTCCAGGTAGGGCAAGGCAGGGGAACTGTTAGGGTGCTCCATGCAGCACTCACCTGTCTGTCCTGGGTTATAGATGGGTTTATCCATCTGGATGAAGGTGCCTGTGCCAGCCCTGTGGATCAGGACTTGCTTCTCTTCATTTGCACTGAAGTAGTGGCCATTGGAGATGCGCAGGTGGACAGTGCCCACCTCCTGGCTGCCTGCAGGTTGGGGGACCTAGGACACAAGAGAGGAGCCACCACGTTAACAGGCAGTAGGAGAGGATGAGATAGCATCAGAGCAGTGCTCTTCTCCTTGATACTGCTGCACTGTGAGGCCAGCCTCTTCTCTGTCTTACTCTGAAGGCCAGCACAGGGTGTCCCCTCAGTGGCTGAGGGCTGTGTCTATGGAAACACATGGGGCAACACCTTTGCACTTGGGACAGATCTTGGACAAGAGTAAAAAGGGAGAACTGCTCTGGCACAGAATTCTGTCTGCCCCTTCACAGGGCCACTGTTAGAGCTTGCATGGAGCAAGATGGAGAAGACTTAACCCAAGGATCTGTGCTGATGAAAAATCTGCTTCCTAGAATGTGTGGGTCACAGAGGCTGAAATCCATTCATTCATCAGTGCAAACCAAGAAAATAAGGTTAATTGTGTTTGGCAAATCAGAAGAACATATGCTGAGCTAGTGTGCACACCCTCCCATGTCTTTCCTAGTCCTCCAGTACACTTTGCAGCCCTTAAAGAGAAACTTGGAGGGAAGCAGACATGATAGGAGGCTGTCTGAGATAAAAATCCTGGCTTTTCCTGCATCATGATTCACAAACACCCTATGACAGTGCTTCCTGATCAGAGGAGAGAATGAATTGTACAGCTGTCATCTGGGTGCTCTTAAGCATCTCCATCCTCCCCAGTCCTTTGGTGCCTGGCCAGGCAGCCTTCCCTTGGTGTGCCACCAAGGTGGATTGTGAGACACCCAGCAGGAACACTACCATGCAGACAGACAAAGGCAGGGAGCAAAGACACCAGGCTCCCACTAAACACTCTCCCTGACTTTCCATTCACTCCTTTCCATGCCCTCTCTCCTCCTGTCATCCTCATTCTCTATTTCTCTAGCGAGAGGAATCATGATCCAAAAGAGCATGCTAGGGGCTGCCAGCTAGAGGTCCCTGTCAAGAATGATCCTGACCTGAAATTTGGAGCACTCGAAGATCCAGTTGTTCTGGATGACCTTGCGGTAGAGGCTGAGGTTGCCAGATGGATGCACAAGAGTTAAGGCCACACGAATAGGCTTCTCCACCCCCCGGAGGTCCAAGCACACCCTCTGGGAAGAGGGGTAGGGCAGTGCAGCTGGAATGACGATCAGGTACCTCCTGCAGTGGGGAAACAAGACATCACATTCTGGGAGCAGACTCACTCACTCTTGGCATTAATCTTCTGTGGTCTGAGGAAGCAGGAGGGTTTACCACTTCTCTGGGGGCAGGAGGTGTTGCTCTGATGGAGTGGGAGGCACAGATTAGCAGTGAGAGTGTGAACCTCTCACAAGGGTGATGGAAGGTGCACAGTTAATTTCAGATAAATACAAGAGAAATACTTTCAGATGACCTCAGGTCACACTGGTGTGTACATGGTATTGGAGGATGTTACAGTAGCGTAGAGAAACATATACAGTAAACACCATCTCTGCTTCTGCAAAGGGAGCCATTCTTAGGTGTTCCCAGTACCCAAGGAAAATACAACAGTCCAGCCTCTCAACAGAAAAGGATTCATCCTTCTGGCTTTGAGACAGCTCCTCAACAACTTTGGCAGCAGCCTGGCTCCTGATTAATCATCCCCATCCCTGCAGCCCTTTTTATTTGCCTTCACTTCATCCAACACCTTTCCCTTCAGCCTGCCTCAGACTGCAGCCCCTCACTCCGCTTGTTCCCACCACCAGTCCTCACCTAGTTCTTCTACTGCACCAATATCCATGAGAGAGGTTCCCACCTTCAGGAGAATCCTGTGTTCATAACAAGGCTCGTGGCATGCTGTGTATCACCCCATGTCTATCCGTTCCAGGAGGTGACTCACAGAGTCTCACACTCTCTTCCTGCTGTCCTGGCCTCTCCCTCAGCATCACAACTATCAATCACCAGATTTTTAAATGGCACTTACGGTTGTGCCACTATCCCCAGGGTGTAGAGCAGGCAGCTCAGGAGGAAGGGAGTCCACATTTTCATGGGAGACCCCCAGAGAGGTGAATTCTTCTGGAGGGCTGGTCAGGAGAGATGTTAGGGTGCAGCTTCTTTCCATCCAAGGTCTCCAAGCCACCTGCTGTTGTTGCCGTTTCTCCCAGGAAACAGACAAGAGGCTCCAAAGTTTCCTTCCTTCTGCCTCATTCCTGTGTTTATAGTGCTGCAGGCACAGGGTTGTACCATTCGGGATGTTCCCCAGCCAATCCAAGCCTTTTTGGACTCCAGCCTCCCTGCTCTCCTACCCCCGCTGTGGATGGCCCAGCGTTATTCAGACACATTTGTTTTTTTATTTGATGATCAACAGCCTGTTTCCTGTTCACTGCACTGACCCTGCTCCCTGTGCCAGCTGCAGAGCCAGTCCCATTGTTTTGCCTCCGTGGGACATGCCAAGGGATTGTCCCATGACCCCTTGGCATGTGCACTCAGCTGGAGCTCACGGTGAACTCTCGTGGTCATACTGCCCCCGAGCTTTCTGAGTCTGCAGCTCCCGAGGCACATCTCAGTCTTGAACTGGAGACTAGGCCTTGTACAAAATAAGTATATATACACAGTGCTCTGCTCCTTCATGGAGTGCTGCCTCACGCGGGAGTGGAGCACAGAGAGCAGGCAGAGCAGGAGTCCTCGCCTCATCTCTGCCCTACAGGTATTTCAGCTTGAAGAGGAAATCTAGCAGCAGTAGTTCACTCCGGCTGTATCGCACAGTCCTCTGCAGCCCAGTTCAGGGCCAGCTTACACACGCACTCACCAGCGGCAGTGAGGGTTGAACATCAGGCAGGCAGGTCAAAAACTGCATGGCTTGAGTCCTGTGGGGTTTTCTCTAGCTACCAAGAAGCTGTGGCTCTTGCCTTACGTCATGAGAATACATGCTATCTAGTTTTGGATCTTCTTTTTACATGTTAATTTTATAGTCTACTGATTATACTGAACTTTTCACTGACCATAACTGAAAAGAAAATCTGGTTCTTGAAACTACTTATTCTTAAAATAACGTAGTTGTTCTAATTTAGTATAATGGCCATTTCATATCAAAATGCACCATAAATTTATATTCTAGTACCAAACTTAGCTCTTAAATATGTAGAGCCTAGTAATATTTTCCTTTTCTTTAGGAAAGACCGATGCATAACAAGGAAACTAGGGTTTGGGGCTTCTTTTTAAACCCCCTCCACACACATAGCAGGCAGATCCAAATCCTCTCTCTCCTTTTTCTCCCCCCTCCCTGGGCTTTGTTCAGCTCAGAGCTGCTGGTGCCAATGACTGTGAAAAAAGTATAAGTGCACCTGGATAAACATGAACAGGAACGAGAGCAAGAACATGAATCACTCTCCGACACTAGGCTGCCCTTTATTTTTTTCGGTGGGTCTCAAAAAGTACAGGCAGTGCCTGCTGAACAATCCCAGCTGACATCTGCTTGTTCACAGTAGATCCACAGCAGTGCTATGAGACAGACAGATCCCTTGTAACAGCGCAGGGGCTCACAGTGCCAAAGGTGTTGAGAGCCCTGGCTCCTACTGTTTGTGAGAGCGGACACATAACCACCTCTGAAGGTCTGGGATTAGTAGTGATCGCAAACCTACATCCTGAGCAATCAACCCAATCCAACTCCCAGACGATGAAGCAGAATGAAATAAACGTTGGAGCAGCAAAAACAAAGTCACGGGGTTGGCGTTCATGATTCATCTGACTCACCCCCACCTCCATCCCCCGTTACCGGCGTGGTGACCAGGTGCTGGCCGGGAAGCACCGGGGAAGCGAGCTCCTCCTCACAGGGCTCTGTGCTCACTGGAACATGTGGCAGGGCACGTGGTACCTGGATGCTGTCTCGTGCTGAGCTCTTCCCCCAGCCCACAGACCCACTGATCGTTTGGCCCAGAGACAGGCAAGAAGCGCTCGAGGAGTTGAGGCTGGATTTGTGTCCCTGGAGGCAGGCAGTCCTTGGTGGTCATGCAGCAGAGCTGATCACCAGCTGAATGGAAGCACATGCGCCACCAAGCCTCCGGGTTAAATCTCCACAACCCCTCAGCTTTGCTAAGGATAAACAAATGAGTGTGATGCTTGACACCTGCTGCTCTAAGCAGAGAGGTAGAAGTTTAGTCCACAGAGAAATCAATATATTTTGTACAAAAGTGGGTTTTTTCCCCATCTTTAAACTCTCCTGGAAGCCACCTCCCTCCAAGTGCTCTCTAGTAACCAGATGCCACAGATGCTACAATTTATATCTTAGAAAGAACCTTTTGAAGGACCCAGAAGAGATGTTAAGAAAGTAAGCACAGAAATTGCAATGGATATTGAGTCAAAAATGTCACTACATGAAATGTTTACACAAAGTGTGTGCACATATATGCATATGAGGGGGGGGGGGGTTGTGTGTGAACTCCTCCTGCAACAATGAGCTCATGCATGCCCATTATGAGCCCTCCTGGGCTCAGGAAGGAGTAGGTAGAACACACGCGTGTGTATGACCACTACAGCAGTTGCTTTCTCAATAAACTTCTGCTCCAGGGACTTTTATCGGATCTGTTGCCTGTGCTTTGCTAAGCACTGCGAACAGATGATGAGAGCAGGGTGGCATTGGCAGCCGTAAGCCGTGTCCCTCCTGCTCTGCAAGAGTCCAAGCTCTAGCCAGTGCTGCTCTCTAAGTATCAATACCAGGTGCAGGCCTGACTAGCTTCAGTTCTGCTTTTTGGTATCAGGAAGGACAGACATCACCAGGGGTAAAGGCAAGGGGGAGAGGAGACATTTGCAAAGAAAGCTGCAGTATCTGCAAAGTTGGTTTTTAAAAGTTTCAGAGAAAGTAGTATTCTGGCAAAAAAATCCTGTTCTGCGGAGTTGGGCTCTGCATTGCTCACAAGCTGCTGAGAAAATTGCATAAAGAGAAGAAAAAAATCACCTGGTTAAACAAAGGTGCAGAAGGAGGGAGAAAGTGACACCTGGAATGAAGCCAACCTCAGTGCAGCCACTTCTGGCACTGCACAAGGCACTGGTAACACCTAACTGCTGTGCTGAATTTGTGCATTCCTGGTCCTGTTAACATGGACATGAAGGATGAGGCAGGCTTTCAGGAGCCTGCCTCGCTGGCAGATCGCCTCAGTGCATTAGGGAGAATGTTCGTTTTTAACCAAAAGAATGTGCAATGTTTGTGTCTTTGCCACACGGAGGGGCCTTGCTGAGATTTCAGGGTTACTCTGGAACTTCAAAGTTGAGATTTAAACACACTTTCCAAATCCCTCCCTTTAAATGACCATAAAATCCAGCCTTGCTGCAGGGTCTGGCCTGGAGAACTTTCAGGGCTTTAGCCAAATCCAGGCCCTCAACCCTCACCCTCCTCCCAGACCTTCCACTCCTAAGCCTGACTTTACACTTAGCTGTCACAGCCCCAGAGCCAGCTCTAGCAAGCGCCTGTGGAGACCTCCCCGTCTATAGGAGGACATAGCACTGCCAAGCTTGGGGATCCCAGATCACGAGCTGGAGCTCCTTGAATCATAAAGTTTGATTTTTAAAAGCAGTGATAGATGCTGAATTTTCACATACACGTTGGGTGTTGAATTGCCCTGGCACCTCCTTGTCATGTGACAATGACCCTGTTCCCTCTCCAGTAGCTCATTAGGGGGGAGGGTTCAACCCTTGGGCACCATCCCTGCCTGAGAACTCATGTTTGAACTGTCCTGTGCAAGATGCAGCTTCACAGGAAGTGCAGAAACTCAAATTACTTCCTTCCCCCCTTTCTGTACTAGGAGGGCAGAAGCTAATCTGCAAGATACGCAGCAGGGTAGGTTTATTTTACACCCACATAAAGCGCAGAATCAGCCAAGAATTTATCGTTCAGCTACATCTGTGTGCAGCAGATGATGCTCCATGGGATCGGTCTCCATGCAGGGCTAGGAGTCCTCACCCCACATTGATGGCTCCACGACACTGCTGGCAGGGAATCCAGTGCTGGAAGAAGTAAATGCCATGTACACGGTTCAGATACACTCTCTCTATAGGTTTTTCTTCTGCTCTTTCCTCCGAGGTAATCCTCTGTCACAGAGGCCAAACACACACCACAGTACCCAGATTTGTGATTTACATTTTACTTTTATTCTTTTTACAAGCAAGAAAATCCCTGCATTAAAACAATCAGAATTAATCAGACACCCCAAAGAATTCACCAGGAAACGGCTATCAGGATGAGTGGCATGGCTTGGGCTGGAGGTAGTTCTGAAATCCAACTTGGAATCTGTCCCAGCACCAATAGCCCAAGCCCCTTGAGATGTGACTTTCCAGGTGATGCATCCCCCTTTCATAGCAGAAGCAATAATGCAGCAGCCCTGCTGTCCTAGGGCACCTTGCACCAGTGAGATCCCTGTGGGCTGAAACAGTGGACAGTAAGGGAAGCAGATCAAGTCTGCTTGAGAACCCTGGAGAAATGAAAGCAGAAGAGGGAGTAACCCAGAGAGCAAATAATACAACAGAAATTATTAACTCTGGGATGCTAACAGCTAGGGAGCCCAGGCTCTCACTAAGGACTCTAAAGGAAAGTGTTTCTCTGGTTTGATCTAGTCCCCTTGTTTTACCTCAGCCCCTCCCCAGAAAGAGGGACTCTCCGTACCTAAACAGAGTAAGCTGAAACTAGTACCATGAATTCTGCTTGAAAGCTCTTCTGGAGCAGCACAAACCATCTATGAGCATTGTCACTCAGCTGGCAGGCAGATCCGTGCACTGTATCACAGCCCAGACAGCCGTGCAGAGAAAATGCACAGAACTAGTCCTTCACAGCACGGACACATGTTAATCACTTCACATCCTGCCTACAGGGCAATCCAGCAAAGACTACGTTACAAAGTCCAGGAAACAGAGGGCAGAGACTGAAGTCCCTAGAGGCCTAGGGAGAGCCAGATATAGACCTAGATGAAGAGAACACGCTGAGCCAGAGATACACAGGGCTCATATGGGACAAAGAGGGGTGGCTGGGTTGTAGAGGAAACATCACAAGGCTGCTAGGTCTGTCCAGGGGCTGAGGAAGGGACTCACGCCTACCTCAGATGCAGAAGACATTATAATCAGCCAGGGCCTGCTCCTCTGCAACAGGACAGGAGAGATATGT